GAAAATGAAATATACTTGACAACACACACACATACCCCATTAGAAACAGAATTGCCGGAATGGATGAGTGAGAAATGAAACTAAGCCTGCTCAACATTCTTATGTGGATAGAGAGAATGTTAACAATATAAGGCAAGAGCAAGAAATCATTAAAAGTGAATCTCAAGTGTAAAAGATATGAGAGTTAAATCACTGAAGTGAGATAGCTAGCTGAGGAATGATCCAGAGAGTTAGAAGCTTAGTGTAAGGGTGGAGACTAACAAGGAACTCATGGTGCAGGTGGAGAAAAATGTCTCCGACAAAGATTAGGATAGGAAGAAGGAAAAGTTTATTTTTATTTTTCCAGGCAGAAAAAGGGCCAGCACAGAAGAGAAAGAGGTAAAGAATGCTGGCATAGCAGACTGGTAAGTGAGGCCTTTTATTTAGGGGCTACAAAGGGTGTGAAGATGATTTATGGCTGTATCCGGATTAGCTGGACATAGTTGTGGAACTGTTATTGGAAGCTCGGCACTTATCCCTGAGGCCACCTAAGAAGAATAAGAGCAAGTGGTTTGAGGAGAAGGAAAGAGAAGTTTATTGCTGTGATGGCAAAGGAGGAAAAATGGCACACTTTCTCATCTCAAACTCCAAATTGCCTGAACGTATGCAAAAATATAGAGCTTTTGAACCGAGGGCCCCTGAGTTCTAGGCTATCGTGGTTAGTTATTCTAATAGTCTCATCTGTGCCACAGATAAGGCCTGTGACCTCTACCAGTCGCCCACCCTGGGATGGGCCCAACCTGGGATGGCTGATTCTCCAGCCTCCTGATGACCCACTGCCAGGGCAGGAATGCAGGCTTCAGTTCTCAAAAAGAGTGGGAAAGTTTTAAAGACCTTTTTGCTGTTTTTGTTCAGGCCATTCCCACTGTAACAACACTCCTGCCTCCATTTGTTTGCTTTTTCTTAGTGGCAGGCTGAGAACAGATGCAGCTGGGGGATGTTGGAGACCTTGTCCTTGGAGTATGGTTTTGGGCAGGAAGTGAGGCCTGCAGCTTCCACCCCTGCCAGAGCTCAGGAACTCTCAAGGCTTTAAAGCAAATAGGTCTGCTAAATGTAAAAGAGAAGAATTTACATTTCATTTCTGTCTGCTAAGCCTTTTCAGATGTTGTGAAAACAGAACTCTGCAGGGTGCCTGTAGGCTAGAGAGCTCATATGATTGATCGTAGCCCTTACTGAGAAACTAGGTAATTTTTGTTGTTGCTGGCAAGGCCATCCTTTCACTTAGATTGTGAAGTCTTCCCAGGGGAAAGAACAACAAGAAAATAGAAAAGACAATTTAAGTGATGTGGAGTATAGATGCACCAACTTCCAGATAGTACAAGTCCCCAAAGCAGAAGGGAAAAACAGAGGAAAGGAAATATTCAAAGAAGTAATGGACATAAAATTCCTATGATTAAAGAGAGATGAAGGGACCTCAGAGTACAAACAGGACAGATAAAGAAAAACTGCCAACCAAACACATTGTAGTGCAAGTTAAGAACACCAAAGACAAAGAGGAAAATTCTAAAGTCTTCCAGAGAGAAAGAGCAGATAACCAACCCAACATGAAGCCTAAGATTCACATCAGACTTCTCATTAGTGCTATTGTCTGTAAGAAGGAATGGGGGCATACTTCTAAGGTATTAAAAGGAAGCACATTGAACTCAGGGATATAATATCTTTACATATTATCATTCAATGTGAAGTTATAAAAAATGCTTTCAGGAAGAGAAGGGCTTCAAAATTTTGCACACAAAGACTCACATTGAAAATATTCTGAGATGAATAGTCATTTAGAAGTGTGAAGTCTTTACTGGAGGAAGAGATGCAATAGAGGTTGTGAATGACTTCATTCCTTTCCTTTCCCCTAGCCCAACAGAAGAAAAGAAAAGCCCGTGGCAAACACTTAACAGAGGCTTTCTTTAGAAGCTACATTTAGTCACTGAGAAGTAATAAGCTTCCACTACCTAGCTAGTAATAAACGATACTTACTCTATGTTAAAGGACAAAAACATATTGCTCATTCTGAAATCATTAAGGACATTTGTCTTTCCTCAATATGAATTTGATCAGGGCTTCCCCACGTGAGGGTCACGGGGTAGTGCCAGTCTGTGAACTATTTCCCATCCAAGGTTGGGGACATGCAGAGACTAAGTGTTAGGAAAATTGAATTTGACAGAGCGCTCTTAGGTTTAATTAATCCAATAAAAAATTGTGTTGGTATTTTTTACATCTTTTATTTGGGAAATTATTGATTTGCCTGGGACAGATCTGGAAAAAATAAAGAACAAATGGGTTCATCACTACAAATAATTTGAGAAGCACTGGATTAGATCCAGGGATTGGCGAACTCTTTCTGAAAAATGTCATATGTTCTCTGTTGCAGTGATTCAATTTTTCTGTTGTAGGGTGAAAGCCAGCGTAGAGAACACACAACCCAAAGAGCATGGTTGTGTTACAAGAAAACTTTACTTATTGTCACTAAAATATGATTTTTATACAATTTTCATGCCTCAGAAATTCTTATTATTTTTTTTCAACCATTTAAAAATGTAAAAACCATCCTTACCTTGCATGCTAAACAAAAACAGTCAGTGAATAGATCTGGCCTTTAGGATTTACCAATCCATGTGTTAGACTGCATTGTCTCCGAGGGTTAGTATTTATCTCAGAGACAGCAATGTTTTCGTGTGTTTGAGGATGCTAACTTTCTTTTGCATAGGATATACATTCATAGGGTTAAAAAAATCAAATCCACATAAAAAGTTACACATCCAGAGGATCTTCTCTCCGTGCAACGCCATCGCTGTGCCAGCGCCTGATTTCTTGCCAGCCACACTCTGTTGTTGAACCCCTTATCATTCATCTTATAAGCCTGTTCTTTACAGGTAACCATTTTTTTAAATGAATTTCTTACATGTTTTTCCAGTGTTTCTGGAAATATTAGCAAAACCACATCCACAGATGTATTTTCCTAGATGAATGTGGTACACGGTTCCCTCTTGGCTTTTCTCTGCCATCACATCCTGAACCTTTTTACACTGGAATAAAGAGAGCTTCTCTCATTGAAGGGATGTATTGGATTCCTTTTTGGGTTGGTATCATTTTTTTTTTGAGACAGAGTCCTGCTTTGTTGCCCAGGCTTAATCCGAGTGAGTGCGCAGGTGGCAATCAGCCTAGCCACAGGCAACCTCATCTCCTGGGATGAAGGCAATCCTCGCGCCTCAAGCCTCCAAGTAGGCTGGGACTACAGGCCATGTGCCAAAGCCCATGCCCGGCGTAATTTTCTCCAATATATAGTTAGTTTTGCCAATTAAATTTCTTTCTAAGTAGCAGATGGGTCTGCGCTCCTTGCTCAGGCTGGTTTCGAACTCCTGACCTTGAGCCAACCCGCCTGGCCTCCGCCTCCCAGAGTGCTAGGATTACAGGTGTGAGCCACCGCACCTGGCTGGGTTGGTACCATTGTTTATTTAACTAGTCCTCTCCAAACAGATGGGGTTAGTTCAAGTGTAATTCAGAACAATAGTGCAATGAACAAACTTGCTCATGCATTGCTCTGTGTGTGTGTGTGTGCGTGTGTGTGTATGTGTGAATATGTGTGAACTTGCATCCATAGGGTAAATTTCCAAGAACTGATGTCTCTGAGCCAAGGGATAAATACATTTATAATTTCGATGGCCATTGCCAATTGCCCTCTGTGGGCGTTTTGCCCTCCCACCAGCTAGCTACAAGAGTGCCCATTTCCCCACGCAGCCTTGCCATAGAGCAGGGTGTCACGGGTTTGGATTTCTGTGCATTTTTAAAGATAAACCGGGCATGTCAGTGGAGCTGTCATCTGCATTTCTCCTGCTACGTGTGAGAGTGGCTGTAGAGACAACCTCCATCAAGTGAAGCATAGTTGAGCGGAATTAGAGAAAGGTGGTCGTTCTGCGAAGACAGATCACAGAGAGGCACCTGCTCTGGGCGAATGCAGAGCTTGCTGGGCTGTGCAAGGGCCCCCATCTGGGGTAAGTTCAGCTCCCACCTGTGCCTACTGGGTTGGGGGGCTTTGCGAAGGGATCCCCACGCAGCAGCCCTCACGGTGATTATTAGAGCAACAGGTGGGGCTGTGGCTGGTCTAGGTAGGAATTTCCAGCAGAACCTGAGGCGGCAGGAGGAGGGAAGTAGCATCCAGGTAAGCGCAGAACCAGCTCCGATGGGGCAGGCCCAGCTGCATATTGTGTGTGGCCCAGTGCAAAATGAAACTGCAAGAACCCTTGTGTAAAGCTTGGTAAGAATTTCCAGACGGCTGCAGCAGAGCATGAAACCAGGTGTGATATCCTTCCAAGCACCACGACCCCTGCAGGGCCCTGAGGGCCCTGGCCCTGGGTGAGGGGCTAACCCACAAGGGTCCCGCTGGTGGCCGGCATTGCACTGCCCCACCTTCTCCTCTATGAGACTGGCAGCACGGGAGAAGAGCACCCCATGCAGAAGATGTGCATTACAGCTCCCCAAAAGTCCAGACCAGCTTTCCTGTTTTCCCCAACAGGCCAGTGGGAGCTTCTCTTGCCCAAGGAAGGAGAGACAGATGTCTGGGTTTTACTTGTAATGGCGGCTGTAGACATGCCAGACCCAGGGCCTTGCCCTGGTCGTCATTTCAATCCTCAAGCATGCCCATGCAGGCGGCGCCAATGTTATCTCCATTTAGAGGAAAGCACTAAGGCTTAGGGAGCTGGGGGAGGGGTATTTGACATAGCCAGTCTGATTCTAGAGCCTGTATTTTCACCCCTACCTCTTAACACCTGTCTGTTCACACATTAACAGCACAAAGGGCAGAGCACACGGCATTTGCTGAAGAATGGCTTTATTCTGAAGGGACCCCCAGGAGAGTAGCTACTATTGCAAAGCTGGGGGTTGCACTGGAGGAGGGAGGTGGAAGTCTGGAAATCTCTTGCTGCCCAGGGAAGGAGGGGGACTGGAGGCCAGGCTTCGGGGGTGTCATTCTGGGTAGGGAATAGAAGAGTACCTGCCTGGCCTCTAGGTTGGGAGAGAGATGTTGTCTTTGCCAGAGAACTAGGCTAAGGTAGGGGGCGTGTGAGAGAAGGAAGGTCGGCATTGGGTGGCGAGGCTTCCAGGGAAGAGGGAATTTAGCAAGGGCGTTTACCCCCTATGCACTTGATTTTGGGATAGAACTCGTACTCGTCATTGTAGCTCTCCTTGTTTCTAGCCAAACAGTAGGCCAGATTTTTATCACACTCACACAGTTGATTCCTGCACTTATCCTCGTTTGCTGAAATCACAAGAAAATAAACATCGTATTGGGGGAAGTTGTTAGTATACTATGGCTTCTTAGAAGACACAGCCCCACCCGCCAGGAGCTCCTAGTCTGAGACAAGCACCTGCCCTGCAGACATTGCTGACTGATGGGGAGACGCAGCGTTCCTGCCCACACAGTCACACTCCCACCCTCCAGCTCCCTCTCTCCACCCCGCCCCTGTCAATCACCAACCTCTGTTGCTTCCACCTCAAATTCACCTTGATTTCTTTCTCCACCCTTCCATCCTGGCCTCTGCTGTTCTATGCCAAGCCGTGGCTCTCTCTTGCCTGCATCATGGCAGTCGCCTTCTCTGGCCTCCTTCCATGTGTCCCCATCCACTCTATAGCCAGACTGAGTCCTCTCAAATGCACATGTCGCTGCTTTGCTTAATAGCTCCTTGTTGCTTTAGGACAAAAGCCGGAAGCCCTGACTATCTGGCCCCGGCCCGTGTGTCCAGCACCGTTGCTCACCACTGCTTCTCTTCCTCTCGTTCCACTGGGTGGAGCACAGTGGCATAGGGCGCCCTTTGGTGCCTTTGACCGAGCTGTGCGATCTTCAGGGAATGCCCCTCCCCCTCCCCTGACTCTCCGCCCAGCCTTTGAGACTCAGCCTGCAGGACGGCCCTTCCAGGAGGCTTCCTGGAGCCTCGGGCTGTGTCAAGGCCCCATCCGATCTGTTTGCTCTCTTCCCCTGGTGTCTTTACCACTTGGGCTTCCATTTTCCTGACTTCCCACCCAGCCATGAGCTTCTCGAGGCCACGACAGTGTCCCTCTGTTCTCTGTCTCTGGTGCCCGGCACAGTCCCCGGCATTGTGTGATCAAATGAGGGCCCCTCGATGATGTTGAGGGCTCTTACCACAGGTGATTTTGTTCCCCTTATGGCTAAACTGATAGCTCAGAAATTTGGAGCCACACCCCTGTTCCGTTTGCCGATGGTAGCAGCAGTCGTGTTCGGCACAGCACCTGGGAGGAGGACACACTATTGGGGTGGTCTTCCCACAGATTTGGGGCACAGGGGGGCTGTTGCCTGTGGTCTCACCCCTGGGACCCTGGGAAGAGACCCATGGCTTTGGAATAGTCTAGAGCAGAGGTTACCGCATGCCGGCTGCTTTTCCAGCTGGGACCTCCTGAGACCTCTGTGCCGATGAGGCACCAGCACTGTCCTTGCAGCTGCCAGCGCTGCCTGGGCCAGAGTGAGAGGAGGGCAGGGGGTGCTTTGTGGCCTCACCGATCCGTCCCATCCAAGGGGGTTCCTATACCGCTCAAGCCACAGTAGCAGCCGTAGAAGGCGTAACTGGACAGAACTTCCTTTCCTGTCGTCAACTTGATCATTTCCTTTAACTGCAGCAAATTCCCATGGGCCTGCAGCAGGCCTGGAAGGAAATCAGAAAATTGCCTGGTGATGGGGGGTGGGGCAGTGTCCTCCCTCTCTGGTCTCTCTGCTACTCTCGATCTCCCCAAATATCTACCCTCCTCCTCCCCCTGAGGCAGGACTGCTGCGAGGGGAAGGCAAACTCGGGGATAGTGTCCTTCCCTCCAGGGGCTGCCCCTCTGCACTCAGATGCCAGGCTCAGCTCTTACCAAAGGCCACGATCACTGCCAGCAGCAGGAGGGTCTTCATGGTGAGATTCTGTGGGGGACAAATGCAGACGGACTGGCACAGCCCCTGTCCCGGATAGTCCCTGCTTAGCCCGGATCCCTGCTGTGCTGCTCACCCTCGGCAGCCCGGGGCACAGGACATGCTCTTCCAGCCCAGGCCGAGTCACACACAGAGCACACAGCAGTGCCCTCCGACAATGCACACGTCTGTCACCTCTGTGCAACAGTGTCACACGCACCGGGCCTCAGACCCTCGGGGACCCCACAGGACGCACTCATCGGAGACCCCCACGAGCCTCATCAGACTGAGAGCTCCTGGAAGGTTCAGACCAGGTTCTTCCTGACAAACTAGGAGGCTCTCAGTCAGAGATTGTGTCCCCTTTGCCAGACATATCTTGCATGTCCCCACACTGGATTCAAACCTTGGAGTCTCAAAGGCATCCATGGAGTCTGAGCCCCGCTACTTTCCTGCAGAACTAAAGTAGTGCCCTCTCTCTGAAAGGCTTTCTAGCACCTTCTGCATATACACACCCCCAAACACATACATGCTTATACACATATGCCTGCATATGTCTACTCTTGAACTCACCTACTAGTGCAAACACCCTCTCATACACGGCACTCATATGCCCACAGAACACATGTGTGCACGCTCACCCTCTTGTACATACCGTACCATGCACAGGCATGCTTATCCCATGCATGCCTACGCACACATGCATGCACACACGCACACACACGTGAACACACATGCACTGCACAGTCTCTCTCAAAGGCAGTGAAAGAGCAACTTACTTCTCAGTGTCTCAGTGGATAGTGGAGTCGTGCCTCCAGGTGACTGTCATGTTTTTTGTGCACTCCAGCTCCCCTTAAATAGTTGTTCCATCTGCCTGAGGGTAGGTGAGCATGGGGGTGGGGGTGGGGTGGCTGCCTGTGCCCCTGGGTCACCTGTTTCCTTTCTTTGGCCAGCTGGCAGGACTGGAAAACCTTTTGTGCCACTGGCTGATGCCAGAACAAATTCAGGCCATTTTGCAGTCTTTCCAAGGACTTGGCTTATGACTGGATAAGCTATAACTGACTCTGGGTGTCGTCACCCCACCATTCCAAATGGTGGCAAGAACAGTCTGCTGTTGTGGGCTGTGGACTCATTTGCCCAGCCAAAGCGACAGTTATTCAGTGCCAATTGCTCCTTTCTGCTGGTAAATGGTGGAATTAGACAGAGGGCATTTAGTGTTGGTGCAATGAATCAATCATTCATTCACAGGAAGTATACATTAAGCCTCTACAAATTCTAGCACCTGTATAAGCCTCATGGTAGGTGCCCTTGGGTGCCCCACAGTCCAGCAGGGAGAGGGTTGAATGGGGTGATGTCCCTTCCCACTGACGTGGGCCAGTGCCTCCACCTTCTCTTCTTTCTTCCCTCATTGTCTTCCTCCTACCCTGTCCCATATGGGCGTCTAAACCTTGAAAAGCAAAAGGCTCTTCGTGAAGTTCCCTCCAAAGCACTCCTGCATTTAGTGCCCTGCCCTCACTGGTTTGGACATGGGGCTGATCAATGCTCCCCGATCTATTGCTTCTTTTCCTTCAGCCTCAAGGACACAGCGACTCCAGCTTTAATTCTTAAACATCTTTTTCTGCCCTCCAGTATGTACTTAGAATTTAGCCTCCTCCGCCTTAAATAAACACTCTGCAATACCAGTTCTTAAAAGGTCACTGTGGAATTGGCTGTGGTGCTCGTGAACGTGCCACCTGTTCCCCAACTCTGGATCCTCTCGCAGGTCCGTGCAGCCAGGAGACTGCTGCTGCCTGGCAAAACACCAGCATCATCACTAAGGGTCACTCCCAAGTTTTTCCAATAAAGGACCAACACGTGCAATTCTCTAGCCTTTCCCTGCCCCTCCTGGTGGAACCAGGAGATAAAAGCAGTCTGGGTCCCTGAGTCCTAGCACAGAGGACAGCTGTCTTGGAAAGGCCTGCAGTCCTCAGTGGTCTTAGCATGAGTGAGAAATAAACTTTTGTTGCATTAAGCTACTGATAATTGAGATTGGCAGTTACTGCAGCATAACCTAGTCTATCTCAACAGCCACCAGGCAGCTTTCCCTCTTGGAAGTACAATTCATTTCCAGTGCTAGACCTTTGATCCTTGGTTCTGCCCTCAGTTCCTATGTTGAAGTCTTGGGACCTCAGGATGTGATCTTATTTGGACATAGGGTCATTGCATATATAAGGTGATATCTCATTGTGGTTTAATTTGCATTTTCCTGATGATTAGTGATGTTGAGCATTCTTTTCATATGTTTCTTGGCCATTTCTCTTATGGAAAGACATATCATACTCATGGATAGATAGAATCACATTGTTCAAATGTTCATACTACCCAAAGTGTTTACAAATTCAACACAATACCCATCAAGTTACCAATGTCATAGTTCAAAGATCTAGAAAGAATAATTCTTTGCTTTGTTTGGAATCATAAAAGAGCCCAAATAGCCAAAGCAACCTTAAGCAAAAGGAGCAAATCTGGAGGCATCACATTACCAGACTTTAAACTATACTACAAGGTTATAGTAACCAAAACAGCATGGCATTGGTACAGAAATAGAGACATAGACCAAAGGAACAGAACAGAGAACTCAAACATAAAACTACTTACCTACAACCAACTGATCTTTGACAAAGCAGACAACAATGTACACTGGCGAAAAGAATCCTCAGTCAATAAATGGTGCTGGGAAAATTGGGTAGCCACATGCAGAAGAATGAAAATGGGACCCTTACCTCTCACCACTCACAAAAATTAATTCAAGATGGGTAAAATACTTATATAGATCTAAGCATGAAAACATAGGAATTCTAGAGGAAAGTGTAGGAAAAGCTTGATTTCAGCCTAGGCAAAGAATTTACCAAAAAGATCCCAATGGCAATCATGGCAACAAGAAAAATTAATAAATGGGATTTGATTAAAGTAAAAAGCTTCTATACAGTTAAGGAAACAATCAACAGAGCAAATAGACAACCTACAGAATGGGAGAAAATATTCTCAAGCTACACATCCGATAAATGGCTATAATCATAATTTATAAAGTACTTAAACAACTCAGCAAGAAAAAAACAAACAACCCTATTAAAAAGCAGACAAAAGACATGAACAGATGTTTTACTCTTAATCTTGCTGTCCACTCCCACAGCAATCGGTTTCACGCCTACATGAAAGTTCAGAGGTCTCAATCCCTGTGGTTGACCATGACCTTTGTTAAACACCAAAGGTTTTGGAAACTGTAATTTCTACAGTAGGTAGAACTGTCTCCTGCTCTGTACATCCTGATAGCACTGACCCTGGTATCACGTGCAGGGATTGGGCAGAAGAAGGACTTCAACACTCCAGGACTGTGGTGAAAGCAAACAGTGCCTCTCCTTTTCCCATCATCTCAGGATGCTTTTCAGAAATTCAAAGTGTGTGAATCAGCCTCTTGTGCATTCTCTTCCATCTAAGGATTAACCAAGCACTTGGACTCAGTGAGCCAAACAGAAATCTCTGCTCCTGGGGTGGTTCCAGTTTAGCACAGAGATACACTCAGCCAAAGGAGTACTAGGTAAAGGATGTCATGTGTTAGGTGGTGACACCACAGCAGGGTAGAAGCTGTAGGGATAAGGGAGGGGGAGCTGGGGGATGGGGGAGGGTGGGTGGCAATGTTAACAAGATGGGTGTTCTCCTAGGGGAGGTACTTTGAGCTTAGTGCATTAAATTATTAAAGAATTTAAATTATTAAATAACTAAAAGAGTTAACATATTGACAGTGGTTGTTTTCAATATTGGTACATGGCTGAAATTTTTCTGCTAATCTCTGTTTCTTCACTGTTTCTTTGTGAACATACGTTACTATTTTTTTTAAAAACTCTTATTTTGACATAAATTTTCACATACAGAAAAGTGGCAAAAGCAGAATTTTCAAATACCCTTACCCCAGCTTCCTTGACGTTCATGTCTTCCATAGCCTCATTAATTAATCTACAGACTTTATTTGAATTTCACCAAAGTAACGTCTTTTTTCTCACCTGGGATCCAATCCAGGAGCACACGTTGTGTATGGTTTCACATGTCCTAGTCTCCCCTCATCTGTGTGACCTTGACTCTTTTGAAGGCAGGTGTTCTCAGGATCCTGTTGAGGTTGTGCATTGTGTGTGTGTGTGTGTGTGTGTGTGTGGTGAAGACACTTAAAATCTATTCTCTTATCAAATTTCAAGTAAACAATACAGTATTGTTAACTGTAATCACCATGCTATACATTAGAGTCACAGAACTTAATCATCTTAAAACTGAAATTTTGTATCTTTTGACCAACACCTACCCCATTTCCCTTACCCCCTGGAAACCACTCTTTTACTCTCTGCTTCTACGAGTTTGACTTTTTTAGATTCCATATATGCATGAGATCATTTAGTGTTTGCCTCTCTGTGTCTAGTTTATTTCACGTAGCATAATATCCTTCAGGTTCATCCATGTTGGCAAATGGCAGTATTTCTTTCTTTTTTATGACTGAATAGTATTCCACTGTATGTATATAGATCACATTTTCTTTATCCATTTATCCATCGATGGACACTTAAGTTGTTTCCATATATTGGTTATTGTTCCAAAGAGGGTTCAATTTGAAATAATCATATGATTTAAGTATATGATATAATCCAGATTACACTGGAAAAAATTCCTAAAGAAGTTCATGATTGAGGTCATGCATTTTTAGGCAGAATATCACAGAAGTCACAGTGCATCCTTCTCTGTGAACCTTATTGATGGTGTATGGTACTGCTGTGTCTCATTACTATTGAAGTTAACCTTGATCACTTGGAGAAGGTGGTCTCTGCCAGGTATCTCCAGGGTGAAGTTACTATTTTTCCTTTTGTAATTAATAAGTATGTTGGGGGGAGATACTTTGATATGATCCAAATATCCCATTTCCCACCATACTGCCTTCCATTCACTAATTTTAGTCATTTCAGCATTGGTCAATGATTGTTGGCTATAGCAATTATTACCTGTTTTTCTGGTTCCCTCATTCTTTCAACATTAGGAATTTGAATTTC